ATAGACTGGACCAGTGCTGCCCAATACGTCTATCGCGATCGACCAGTCGATCTCAAAGGCAGTATCAGTCGATCGCGAGCCATCGATAAAAAAAAATGACGTCACGTCACGCATGCGCGTTCTACCACGGGAGATGACCGAAACTAATGCTAATTAGCGATCCTTGCTTAATAATGGATGCATTTAATTTTACTCCAAAGCAACCCAGGCTGACTCAAGTAAGGTAAAGTCTTCATATGGACTCGTTATGCGCTATTGTTGGTCACCGCTACTATTTACCCGCCGGTGCCCCCAGCCTCGGAGGGGAGGGGGTAGAAAAGTGTGAGCGCCCCTGGACTACACCATTGATAGCTGGGGTGGTGACTCACTCCCACCGATAGGGAGCATCCCATGGTTATATGGGACAGATCCATGACCTCAGACTTGAAGTCTGATTTAGAAAAATATTGAAAAAGTATTTAAAAGTGTTTTAAAAATAACCTTATTGCTGGAAGAAGAATAACTGTAATTTGCGACCAACAACACGTGGAGATGAAGCCAAATCTCCTGATGGATGGCAGGTGGAAGGTGGAAAAAGGTTAGAAGGTCCACAAGATCAAAGAGTCCAATAAATAAAAAAACAACAACAAAGTTTTATTTATATAAAAAAGTTTTGTTAACTTATCCAAATTATTATATTTTGTATAGCTCAAAATCAAATTTCAAATTAGCCTCAGAGGGCTTTACAATCTGAACACCTCTCGACATCCTCTTTCCCGAAAACCTCACATACACACACGATATGAAGGCAAATCAATGCGGAAATCAAAAACTTTCGAGCTAAAGAGCGAGTGCAAGATATTTGCTCGCTAGTGAAACTCAAAACTCCTCGCTCGTGAGGATGTTTTCTGCTCGCTGTTTTTCTTTTTGACATTAAGGGAGCAGAACCAGTCACCTTGGCATCTCTACATCCAATTGGATACAAACCCCGGCTTTGGATTGGCTGGATTCCATCTCTGTTTAGTTATGCATTCCTAGAACTATAGAAACCCATTTCTGCGCTAAAAAAATTAAGGGGTTGGAAAATCGAAATTATGAGATAAGATATGCGCAGGCTCCGTTATAGTTTGGTAAAGTTGACAAGATATTCACAGATTCAGACTTCCCGGTTGAATAACTCAGCAAAACGTTATTTTACCAATACGGACCAGTCTGCAAGCTCTGAGAGATACCAGGGACTGGGTCCGCCCCCTTATTGTAAAAAAAAAACCTCAGGCACCCGAGAGCAGAAAAAATCCTTCCGAGCGTGGAGAAGTTTCGTGATCGAGCAAATATCTCGCGCGAGAAGGACGTTTTCTCACATCAGACCGACTTTTGGTCGCGAATGTTTGATTTCCGCACGCGCATCGACCTGATTTCCGCTCTGGGATTTTGACATTGATTTGCATTGATTTGTACGGTGGCCCTGAAGTGCAAAACACAACGGCAAATAGGAAAACACAACGACACTAACTTCTTATAACACATATAAACAAACAAAATATAACAGCTTTTACTCACGTTTCACTGACAACCAGCTCTCTGCTGAGGTCAAATTCTCCAAACCTTGAGATGAATTCCTTCTACTACATTTATAAAAGCCTTCATCTGACTTAGTAACTGCAGAGATAAACAGCTCCCCTCTGCTATGGGATGAGTTTTTCTTTTTTATAGAAATTCACATTAAAAGGTTATTTTTTCCCTAACTTGCAGCCAAGAGTGACCGAATATTCCTCAGTCACAGGACGGGCAAGACTCATGAAGACATGTTGGATAATACAATTCAATTTTACATTTATCATTTTATATTCATATCATATAAAAACCTGATCTCTTGAGGCGCTCTCCAGAGTGCTGCGCCTGTGGGTTGCCAGAACTCCCCCACCCCGGCAGGAAGCCGGTACCTGCCGGACCGCCCACATACAGTGCATCCGCGTTGGCATGTTCCCTCCTCGGCCGGTGCTCCACCGTGAATTAACCTGTAACATGACATTTAATGTTGAGTCTTCATTCACATCACATATGTCAAGGTATCATAAAAAGTCCTCAGAAATAGGTTTTATGGACTATTGTGAATCCATCCAGACCCAGATGGCGATAGTGATATGCAATTTGATGATCCAGGTGAGAGTTGTGAACAGTCAGAAGTATGCCCAGAGGCTGTGGAAGAGAATCAATTATTTCGAAATTTGGCTATGTGTCACGGTGTGGTGCACTTCCTGTCGTATTTTGTAGTTTTCTGCGACTCGTGTCCCCGGGTAACTTCACTTCCTGCCTGGTCCTGTCGTCCCCTGTGATTGTCGGATTGTTTCCACCTGTGTCCAATCACCTGCACCTCCCTAGTGTATTTAAGCCGTGTGTGTTGTTTGTCACTTGGCGTCATTGTCTTTTGTCACGGATGTCCCTGTATATCGTCTGGATGTTCAGCTTTCCTGCCTGCCGCTTTTCCCCTGGTTCGTGTGTGTGTGTGTTTTTGCTCGTTGGCCTTTTACTTTGTGGAGCTTTTTGACGATTAAAGTATTTTTCCGTTAACGTCTGCGTTTGAGTCTTGCCTTCCTACCCAACCCTGACACTATGTTTTACTTAAATTTGCAAGCCAAATTTCTCCTTCCTGCCTCTGTGATTCAGACGTTCATAGAGCACTATCAACAGATACATGACGTCAGCCAGTCACATCTTCTTTTCAAACTCAAGGAAAAACTAGAAAATCTGGGGGCAGCAAAAACTAGAAAAAAAACTAGATACATTAAAGATAATGTAATTGATACACATAAATGTGAAGATCTTTTCAGATAATTTGCGTAATTCACAAATTAAAAACAGACCAGAGAAGAAAAACTGTATTCAAGACTAACTTTGATTATGTCAAGCCATTGCCCATTTTTCTGGGACAGAATGAGTCAGGCAAGGAGTGTTTTGGGCAATATATCCCAATTAAAGACACTGTTTCATCACTTACGCGGTCGAATGTGAAATGTCAGAGCTCCCATCGGACATCAGAGAAATTGTCATTTTTTTGTGTGTTTTGATGGTTTGTGTCCATCTTAATAAGTGTTTTGTCTTTGTAAAAATCAGCATTCTTTCCCTGGTCTCAATGTCTACAGTGAAGAGTCACTGATTCTCCTTCATATAAGGAGGACATAAAATTGTCAATAGAAGAAGATGTCAAAGTCATTCTCCCTGTAATAAATAATAAAGTTCACTAAGTAATGAGTACATTTCACCTGAAAGAGGCACCACACTGCTGATATATTTAATGCATTTATGATTAATAGTTAATCACTGACTAATTCATCAAAAAGGGATGACATATTTGATCGTTTGTCTTATCTTTGAAATGTTATTCATGTACATAGCTGACTTCTGTCCATCTCTCTTTGTTTGAAATGATCAATATTCTTTGATGATTGATTACTTTAAACCAGTGAAAGAAATGCCTTTTATATTTTTCATTTGACCTTTTTCCCTATTTTTATTTTGAAAAATGAATGGATTCTGTCCCATTAACATGCGCTTATCCGTCTTGACGCATTTCCAAGGTTTTTCTTTTTGCCATGCGCAGCGACTGCTGCATACAGAGAAATGATACTGCAACAAACTAAGATTGTTGAATCGTTTGTTAAAATAAATATTGAGTTAAAGAAAGTAGGTGGCAGTTCCAGAGACCTCCTGTGACGAGGTGCTGGACGTGTGTGGAGCGGGTGGGTTAGATAAGAGAGGAGACGTTACGATAGAGAGCAGATCTAGCCCGAAGCCTGTAGTATCTGCGGGAGGAGATTCAAACAGGTACGGGTAAAGGGGTCGACACATTATTAAATATAGCAGAAGGTGCCGCATTCAGCCGCCCCGAAGACTCCCACGAAAGACTCCTTTGTCTTTGTCCTGCTCGTCTTTGAAAAAATACTTAGTTGAATTTCAGGTCGCCTGCTATTGAAATTAAAAGCGAACCAGAACTGACTGTCAATATCCACAGGGACACTGAAAAAAGCATTGGCGAGGTCAACCGCGGACACCATTAGGCATCAGGTGTAATGGTCGGAAACATTTGGGGCTGGTGCGCAGACGGCTGCATTAACTGCTTTGAGGTCCTGCACGAAGCGCCACAGTTGGTTTTCCTGCGTCTCTGATCTTTTTAACAGGAAAAATAGCTGTTCTTACCGGAGAGTCAGACATGGAATAATGACCTCGGCCTTTAAGAGAGAGTTGAACACCGGTGTTATACCGTCAATGGCCTCTTGGCGCAGTGGGTATCAATGCTTGTGAGGACGGAAGTCTGAGCAAGCAGTGATGACCACAGGTTGACAGTTTTTAATTAGCCCCATGTCATATTCATGCGCTACCCATAAGGCTGCTGGAACAGAAGTGAGGGAAGGGGAAATGAAGATGCTCTTAAAGAAAATTTAGTCCTGACCTTGATTTCATATCTGCTAAAATCAAAACATTTAACCCTCCCCCATCCTTCCAATATGGCGATGAAGTACCTTCACTGGATGAGGAAAGGAACGTGTGGTATTGACCCCACAGAATGTGAGGTGATTTGATTGTAATAGTGCTTAGCAGGTTTCCATTGCACAGCTCTCCATGCATTTGTCTTGCAGGCTGAATCTCTCAGCAGATTATGATGTCACGGCGGGGAGAATCAACCCTTTATCAGGAGCTGGTCAGGATTAAGTGTAGGTAATGCTCTGGAGTGAATGCTCAGGAGCATGCAGTCCTGCTGGTTTCTCCTCTGTGGACCTTGCAGAAAAAGAAATCGTGGATTCTAACTGTCAAAAGATGAGAAACGACAAAAATACATTGAGAGAAATCAGCGGCTTGTTTTCCCTCCTTTGGTAAGCTAAAGAATCTGCCACTGCTGTTTGTGAGAGCATTTTTCAACTTGGTTGGTCAACATTCAAAGTGTTTGTAAAACCTGAGAGAGGCTCGTGCTTTATGTCGAGGTACACTCGCACTTCAGTACGTTTTACCAATATTTTTTACCAACTATGTTTTTTTCCAACTAATACTTTTACCCAAAAGAGCCAGTAAGCAAGATGAAAGTGAAAAGGACCACGCTGGGCATGGTTGTCTTCTTTCTGCTCTCTGTGGTCATGACTTGCTGCTTCATATGGCAGTATAGGATGCCAAAGCTGAACACAGGTAACGTCTGTCACATCAACCCAGACTAGCACAGAACATGACTTTCCAACCTCCACCACTTTTGGGCCTGCACGTCCTGAGCATCTGGTGTAATTGCTGGTTTGCAGAAGTGGCAGCAGGATTGCACAAAGCTGGAAATAGTAGCAGCAGGATTAGCAGCTGCGTTCAAGCTGATTTGAACTGCTGCTGAGAGATGGGAGGAGCAAAAGTGGAGCTGAGCAATGCCAGAAGGTTTCTGGGTGAATTGACAACACACACGGCCTTCAGTTGCTCATGCGTTGTGTGTGAACGACATCAGAATTAGTCTCTGCCTGACTCTAACAAACGTAAGGTCACATAATAAAAACAAGTCATCTTTATATCCGAGTACTGCTATGAAAATGAAAACAGGTTGTCATATTTACAGCACCTAATATTAAACTGCACGTTATGACTGTTTTAGAGCCAGAGTGTACAAGCTGTTTTTTATTGTATCAAAAACCTGTGTTCCCTCTTGCCTCCGAATCGTGATTTTGCAAAACTGAAAAATACGGTCTTTTCAAAAGATTGTTTTAGATAAGATACTGTACTAGTAATTATCTATGGATAGTAATGTTAGGCAACGATTAACATTTTTATTGCGATTAATTGCATGACTCAATAATTAATTGTGATTATTGAATTAAAATTCAATAATATTTCAAAAGTAGTGTATTTTGTTTGAAAACACTTTAAACAAGTCAGGTGCTTTTTAACAGCAGTAGAAGTTCAAACATTTCTTTTAAATCTCAACTTTAAAAAGTTTTTAATCAAATCAAATATAAAACCAAAGATATTTGCCACTGCCAGAACATTAACATTTTATCTAGATTGTTACGGGAAAAAGATCATAACATTATAACAAACAAGTTAACATTCATGAACAGATACCCGCAAAAACGTGTGTCTTTCATCAGGGAGCAGCATTAACAGTCTATCTATCAATAATATATCTATCAATCGATAATATATCTATCAATCATGTAATCTATGTTGAGTAGCAGGTGTTGGAATGTACGTGACGGTGTGTGTTCTGCATTTGATAATCACACAAGATCGAACAAGAACAATAGACTGCATTGAGGTTGTTTGTCACCTGTAATTGAGCTTGGCTATCAGATCTAATTGTCAATCCCTGACTACATGATTGACAACAAACATCACAAATGGTTGAAATCTCCTAAAAATGTTAATTGGTGAACAATTGATTCAATTTTTGTACAGCCCCATGATATCCAGCTCAAACAATGGTGTGTTTTCTCCCAATCATAACAGATGAGTTTTGTCAACATGTTTCCTTTTCCACAGAAGTGGTTGGAAAACAAGAGGCAGTAGAGGAGATGTGCCCTCTCTATCCTGAGCCTGTCCCCCTGGTACATCCCATCCCATCACTGAAAGTGGCCTTAGAAGGGGTGATCTCTTTTTTAATCCACTTTTTCTTCATCATATTGAAAGGTTTTATTCTGATAATATTCTGGGTTCGCTTGTAGTTTTCTTACAGATTTCTCTTCTTACAGATAGATCTACTCCTGAGGTCAAGCATTCACAACACCAAGCTACCAGCAATATCAGCAATTGTGGTTTTAAATGACTCTGTTTTGTGGAACGGCAACTTTGGCAAGAAGAACATAAGTGACCCCTCTTCATCTGCACCCAATGAGTACACAGTGTACAGGTGAGATGTATAGCTGATGTGAAAGACATTAACATAAAACATAACAGATATGACAAAAAGGAAATGGTGATTTGAAATGAATACCAACAATAACCGGTCCATGATATTAACAACTCCATCTCAAAAATAATCCTTACCACATGATGGGACCTGCAGTCTAGTTCTCTTTACTGGATTGCATCTGATCTGAGGTTTAGGTTTGGATTAGACATCATTGTATTCAGTAAGCTCCTTACAGGATCAGTGATCAATGAGACTAAACCACACAATAAATGAAATACTTGAATTCTGATTTGTGCGGCAGCAGTAGGGGTGCGATTTATTATTAGACCAGGATATATTTAATCAATGTTAATACAGATGTGTAACGCTCACTTGAATCACTGTGATTGCAGAATTGCAAGCCTCTCTAAAATATTCCCGACACTGATGCTGTACAAACTGTGGGAGGACGGCCTGGTGGACTCTCTCGACGACCCTTTGGACAAATACACAGAAAACTTCACCATTAAGGACCCTCTTTGGAAAGGTGGGGGGCCAGCATCCTCATCAGTCAGGACCCTCAGCAGCCACTCTCCTGGACTCACCCTCCGCAGGATGGCCAGCCAGCTCTCTGGTAACCACACTTTGTTTTGACTTGGTGATTTTTGATAATCAACATTAAAACTGCAGTTGGCAATTTAAATGAAAATACTTTTTGGAAACCTTCTGTGACTATATCCTCATAGTAATGCATAAGAGAGATCACCTGTGGATAGAGCTAGTTCTTCTTCTCCCGACACACACACACACACAGATCAGAAGTATTGTGGTTTCCTTTTGTGGTCTTAGTACTGACCAATCACGTATGAAAAGGGTTTGGTTTAATTTAGATAAACAGTTTGTGTGGAGAGCAAATGAGCCAGAACACTAGCCATGTAGCTATTGGGGAACCCATTGGCCCTCTTCTACCAATGATTCATCTTTTCAGTGATTTAAATTTCCCCCCACATGACTACCTGTGTGAAACAATCGGCCGTTCATGTAGTCTCCCAGCTCCAATTCCAGTCTCATATCTTCCAATTGCTAATGGTCTGTAAATAATGAGCAGTGCATTCCACAACCTATAACATCATTTCATTACAGTCAACTATATCAGCAGCAGTTTTGAAGGAAACCCATTGATCATAATGTAGGGCTTAGGTTAGTTAACTCACCATGCTGATTTTGTAAAGGACAAGCACCTTAGCCAACCTGGGAGAATGAGAAGCTATATACGCTGAGCTGTGTCCGGATATAGAGTTAATCAGCTCGGTGCACTAAGAATGAAAAGGCGGGATTAACAGAGGGGATTCCCTGCTCAAGTCTATCAGCAACAGTTATTCAAATGAATCTGAGGAAGACGTCACTGTCAAAGTGTGTTGTTATTCATCTAATCAAAAGTATCACATATATTTTACACTTGGCCAAAGGGATTAACTATCTAACCTAAGAGCAGATTAACAAAAGGGTACCATGATGACGTAGTCCACAGGTTTCCCCTCCCGTTTTACTTACCAAAATGTTCATATTTGACAGGTTTACCCAGAAGATTAAGGTCAACTAATCTTCTTTGGAGTGGAGACACAGAAGCAGCCCTTAACTTGTTACAGGATGATGTTCTTGTGGCCGATCCAGGTACCAAGTAAGACTATTTCCTTCCTATTTTGCTCTATTTTGGACTTCAGACTTTCCATGCACCATATTCTGAAAAGAAAAAGGGGGGTTATTTATATATAATATATATATAGAAAAAGGATTACTTTGGTATTCTAAATCAAAGATGTGTCAACATCTCTGATATTAATTTATCTTTTCCCTCAGATGCCACTACAGTAATGTTGCTTTTTCCTTATTGGCCAATATCCTGGCCAAGAGGGTGAACAGCTCAGACTTCGAGAGTTGGGTGTCAGACAACATTCTCGAGCGTCTCAGCATGGAGGATACTGGTTTCAACTTAAATCCTGCCATTCAGAGGCAGATGGCTGTCGGTGTGTACAACAATGGCAAGCCCGCTCCCCTCTACAACCTTGGCTGGTACCGACCTGCAGGCCAGATGTATTCCACAGCAGCGGACATGGCCAAGCTCATGATGGCTCTTCTGGGTGGATATGGCGGGACCCTGCTCCGCCAGGACACCCTGAACACGATGCTGACCCCGCTCTTTCGATGCCACAGCGGCTACTTTGCCAACTCCACCGGAACACCTTGGGAGATCAACGAGCAGTTTGGCTATGATGTGGTGAGGAAGGATGGAGACCTGGATGGTTATGCTGCCACCCTTTCCTTGGTGCCACGGCTCAAGCTAGGATTGGTGGTCCTGATGGCTGGGGTTCGGCCTGCAGACCAGGACCTTGTGAGCCGGGCATACAGCTATCTCATCCCCGCAATGGAAAGCGCTTTCAGAAATGCTCGACGAACTCTCAGACCGCCACCCAACCCAGCTCCATATGTGGGTTTTTTCACGTACAGGAATATGACCTTCTATGAGATTAAGGTGGATTCAGACGCAGTGCTGGTCATGCAGCAGTTTGGACCACAGGTGGACTCAGGTGTCCCCTCCAAGTACCGAACTATTCGACTGGATTACCTACAGGACAGAGTGTTCAGGGTGGTGTTTGAGAGCCCATACCCTTGCAAGCTGAAGGTTAACAGTGCTTCTGTCTCCCTGGAGGCACAGGACAGACAGCTCTTCAACTTTTACCTCTTTAACAAGAACGGTGTGTCGCCAGGGTTTGATTCCCCGGGACTCAACACTTACACGGTCACTAGGATAGCTGGCAGACCATACTTCACTTCATGAATACAGGAGCTCAACCAGCGCGACAGTGTGACTGAGGATTTCATCAAAGATATGATATGGCAAAGGAGTCACTGGTCAAGTGATGCTCACTTGCAATTGTATTTCATAATTTAGTCATAAACAAAAGTGTCCAAAGTCATCTTTGAACAAGCACAAGCCAACTAATACTAATGACAGTACTGTTACAACCTTTCTTTAGACGTGGTTGCTCAGGGGACGATGAAAAGTATTCCCCTTCAAACTTCAAGTGCCTACAGTGTGAACTAGAAAGAGGAAAAGCACAACTGATTGATATGTGGAGTGATCAAATTTTTTCAAGATTTATATCCACCATGGAAGTGCGTGAAAGCAATAAAGAGAAAGGTTACAGATGCTATAAAACTATAAAATGAAATGTTTATTGAGAGTAGACTTTGGATGCAGTATTCACACAAAAAATGTACCGTATGTGCGTTTAATAAAGGTTTTGTGTTGGTTTATTTCCCCACATTACATTATAAACTTAAATTTGTAAAATTTACTTAAATTTCTACTTACAAAGCGATGTGTACCATTGGGGTGGTGAGCACGATGAACAGTCCCCCATTAGCAGTAAAAATGTGAATAATAATTGTTTTTATGGGTACCTTTGGTAAAACTGCAATAGTATCATGTCATAGACAGCAGAGCTCTGTACCCTCTAATGATGACCATGTACCGTGTGTAAAATCTCTAGATGACATCCTGGCGACTTCCGGGGCAAAACAATATGTAATTGGGAAAAGAACATTATTGCCTGGCACTCGGATGTGCACAAATCCCCCCTGTTTCATCATCTTATCTTATATATTCCCACTCTAAAGATGAAGACCTTTGAGTAGCCTTGACTTGTATGTATGTCAGTTCTGTCTCCATGTGTGCAAACTTGAATAAATATCCTGTTTAATGATTTTACGTTGCATTACAGGTCATTTAGCTGACGCTTTTATACAAAGCGACTTACATTGCATTTTTAACCCATGGCGTTTTACATTTTTTCCCAGGGAGCAATTAGGGGTTAGGATCTTGCTCAGGGACACTTTGACATGGAGCAGCTGGGGCTCACCCTCTCTACCCCTGTGCCACGTCGACCCCATTTTACACGGGGGTGCCGCCCGTTTGAAATTCGCCTCATTCGCGAACAGACGCGTCTGTGCGTTGACTTCACATCTCTACTTGCGAATCTACTTGCGCGAATAATTCGCTTCGCTTTTGGTGTGAACGCACCGGAGCACTTGGAAAGGCCCTTTCCACCCCGATGCATGTCAGGTTCTTTATTTTGCATGTACTGGATAAGGCAGCTTCTGAGTAGGAAAAACCTCAAAAAGAGAACGTAATTTATTTTCTTTTAACATTTTTGTCATATATTCTGCAGTGTTTTCTACTGTCGGGGTCTAACAGCAGAACTTTTTGTTCTCCTTTTTTCTTTGTCTAAGTCGCTTTTGAAGACTCAAAAGATTCAACTGCCTCGAGTTTAAAAATTAAAAAGTATTTCATAACTAACAGAAGCAATGCAATTACAAAGTGAAATACGGTATTCATAGTTTAATATTTCCCGAAATAGAGAGGTCCCCTCGTCAAGTCTCATATGACCATCAATGTTGGTTCACAGGAGGCTTTTGTCCCTTGTGCTGCTGTCATGTGATTGGCTGCACATTCAAACCAAGCTCCACCCACGTACGAGGTCCGCTCTGACCTTGGTTTCAATCACTATGATTGATTATGACTATGATTGTGTGATTGTATTGTAATTAATATTCTGGTCATTGAAACCTGAAGCTTGTGTTTTGCACAATTAATGCATGCCCAAACATTTGTTTTATTAGTAATTAGTAGGGGTGTAACGATTCATTCACTAAATCGATTAATCAATATATATTCCTGCGATTCAACTGAATCGATCTGTGCTCCGCAAATCGGCATTCCGGACGACATATATCGATTACAAATCGATTGAAATGGTTTGTAGAATATGTAGAAGCCAAATAAAAAAACACGGAAACACGACGGCCATCTACTAAGGGGACTACCGTGGGATTAAACAACGCCGACAGTCAGGCACCTCTAGCAGCGTTACCACAGCAGCAGCAGAAGGTAACTCCAGCTCTGCAGACACCTCAGGCCTCGCCAGCACCAAACTCAACATCACAGCAACGAGTTTATCTGTAAAGACATGCGACCCTACAATGTGGTTGAAAATCCAGGGTTCTGTGAATTGATCCAAACATTGTGTAATTATTGTGTAATGTTTACATTGAAAATGGCACTTGATTCAAATAAAAGGTTAATACATTTGCCATTAATTGTTGTTTGCTTGTTTATAATATCCATAATTAATTTAAACCTGATTTCCTTACAAGAAACAACAGGGATCTCAGAAACTTTGCCTGCACTGTCCAGTAAAGTTACTGAATCGATTTCAAGTCACTGAATCGAATTGAATTGTTCTAAATTAACCCAGATCGTCCATGAATCGAATCGGCAACCATGAATTGCTGTTCGTTGTTAGAATGAATCGTTACACCCTTAGTAATTAGTAATCTGCTGTTGGTTTTTGAGCCATGCTGCTGTGCTGCCATGGCTCAAAAATCTATATAAAGTCTTCCGCATTATCTCACGCTTGTGTTTTTCAATAAATTTTTTTTTCTTCTTGCTATGGCGCATTTGTTTGCATGTATATTTTTATTCATTTAATATGTGTTGCACTTCAAAAAAAAGTTGGTCAGGTAGTTTGTGGTTTCCTGTTAAAATGGTATCAACACCTGTGTGTGTGCAGTGGATTTACAGAATGCTGTACATCTAGTTGCAATATTCCCTCTACAATCTGCTTGTTTGTGTAAAGGTTTGGTTATAAATGTAAAAGTATTTGAGAAAAATGCATTAGGTAATTATACCACAAAGAAATATTTGCACTCACGATTAATTTCCTTCAAACCGTTTCAAAATGTTTCCCCCCACCCTCATACAGCAACCCCCCTACCAGCATCTCGTCACTCCCTCATAATCTTTGTTTTAAGATTTCTTTAGTCTTCTCCTAGCCGTTGTTGTCTGCAAATCTTTCATCTGGCCTGGAGTCTTTCTGTAACAATATTGCATCTCCAATTTTTTTGCTCTTTCGACAGAAATGACTTTTCATTTTAGCTCTTTTATAACTGATTGTTGACCTCCTATAGTTAAACCAAACTGTAGTAATAGTTTTGTGAATTAGAAACTCTGTCACATAGCAGTCACTCATGCTTCATTGCAACAACTTTCCTTCACTCTGACTAACCAGGTTAACTAAACAATTTATTTGATGACACAAATTGTTGGATGAAGAAGTCAGAGGAAAAACCTGCGTAGGAGGTTATATTCCATATATGACTTAATCTGGATTCTCACAAGAATGTCCTCTTGAAAACAAATAAGGAGAGTTTCCCATTATCTCACGTCTCATGTTGTTTACTTGTACTTGTTTCTTTCGGCCTTTGGACCTCATTCACACATTGTTTCAAGAAACAATGTGTTCTTGATTGGCCGAAGACTTTTTTGGCCGAAGACTTTTGTCTTCGGCCAATAAGAAGTTAACATTTTGCGACCTTCCATCTAAACCACAGTGGTCTTTCAATCTCTTTAAGTGCTTAACACATTCATCACTGTCAAAAAAATTCCCATCTCTTCCCATCTTGACATGTTTTGTTGATGCATGACCGCATCTTTCTTATTTATTAATATGTTTGTATTCCTTTCTTTTTGAGTCTTTTTAAACCACGTATCGCAAACCGTTAATTATCTTAATAACTCGGTCGCGACTAACAGAACAACCTCGGTCTCCTTTTCTAAGTACCAAAGCGTGTCTTTCCCAGTAAATGTACAAGAAATTCATTTTAGTTGCACCAACATTTTCAAAAAGTTCCACATGGATTTCACAACTTTTCCTAAATCGAGTACTAGAGACTGTTGAAAACGTTCTGAACCGTAATGAAAACCACCAGTGCGGTTTGCTAGAAAAATGATGTTAGAGAATATTACTCGACAAAATCATCAAACATCATTAAACCCAGGCTGTCCCCCTCACCTGAATTCCCCCCAGTCTTACGTCCCTCTGTGCACGGCTTCTTTAAACATCAATGTACCAACACACATTTAGAACAAACACACAACGAGCAGAGGAGCCGCTGTGCTGTTAACGGCAGCTCATCTGTAGTCATTAGTAAAAAGTCACTTTAATGTCTTAACTTTCGCACTTTAAGACGAATATCTTACGGAGACTGTGACGGTTTGATAGATTATGGTTTATAATCTATAATCCATAACTTATACTTCATATTATGAACAGAAATAGAGCTCAAATAGACAGGTTATGAGCCTGAAATGTCACTTTCTAGGTCAGTAACGTTACAAATGTTGAGAAAAAATACACAAGGAAACTGAACTTGGTGCTTTGTTCCTTATGTTTATTGGTGTGACTATAAACTAACTTTACATTTAGTTTATGTAGTTTTATGGAGCAGGAAGAAGCAGCATCAAGCTGAAGACGATGTGTGAGACATTCAGCTTCTGTAGCTTGGACATATTCTGTAATATCTTAAAGGTCACAGTTCAATTATTTTGTATCCTGTGCAGGAAAAACAATAGAAAAGTCTGTACATACAAGCTAACAAATGTGTTTGCTGCTGTGGTTTTTATCGACGGTATTGATTGATGTCCTCTGCCTTATTGCAGTAGTAGCTTTAGCTAAAAGTCCATGGCTTCAGCGATTTGAATTGAATTTAAAAGTACTTCTCTCCGCCTGAAATCTATCATGCTAAATATATCCAGCCCAGGTGGGTCCTCATAAGGACGCCTCCTCATGGAGACGCACCTCCGGTATCCATGCAGGTGGCTCGGTGCTTGCTGTGACTACGCTGGTTGTCCAGTTTGCTTTGTCCTTTTATACATACGGCATCGCTGCACATTTTAGCCCTCAGGTCGGCCCCGAGAGTCTCTCAGCCATAAGAGCAGAAGTCTATTGCTGAGTATTGTTTGATCCTAAAATGATTTGTACCATTCCATGAGAGCCCGTAAAGAGAGTGCTTTCCAGAGGGGAGCGCTGAGACAACAATCTATACCTCAATTATATATAAATACATTTCATTAACTAGAATTCTGATGAGGTGTATTCCTTAAAATGCACATACAGTGCCCTCAGGGGGTATTTATCTAATACACTCTCTGAAATGTAGTTTATTGACATTATGAGGATCATTATGACTGGAGATGAAATTAACCAAATGAAGACATGTGTAGGTGTCTGAATACTTTCTGAATGTTCTTTATATCCTGAGATCTTCGCCAGAATAGTTTAGAACTGGTTTTTGGGTGTTTCCTCCACGTAATGAATTGTCATGAATCAAGGAATGTTGACATAGTGGTATTTAATGCAATAATATATGATATTAGCATGCTTCAATAGGGTCGTCTCCATGTGGGGAGTACTGTGTTCCCAGGCAATGACAGCTGCATTGACCAGAAACTACCAATGACAGGTGACTTTCTAGTTAATGTCAATTCATTCTCAGAAATAATGTGTTTGACCACTTATGTTATCAATGACTTATATGTCTCAGCAGAAAAACTATATATAATACAGATATTTGTAAGAACATGAAACTAAGGACATCGGAAATCTAGACAAACTAAAGTGCAGGGTGACATTTATTTTTCTGCTTACTCGTCCCTTAAATGGCAGCAAATGGAGGGTGTGTGACAGCAGTAGAGTGCAGAATGAGTGCTGCCTCCTCACATCTTCTGGATCATGATCTGGAATTTACCTGCAGAGATGTAAAGAACAGAGGGAGTGAAACGTGAGTCCATACTTTATCCTTATTCAGAACAAACTACTCCTCTTCTTCATCCTTTTGCTTTTAATGTTGTTTCACCTCAACTAAATAATCCGGTGGATCCAGATAGTCCAGATCCCTCTCGAAGTACAGCCGCCCAAACCAGAACTTTAAACCGGACCGTAGAGCAAACTATTCATTTGACAGCATGAATTAGTGAATCAAGAGAATATTTTTCTTATCATCTTGTGGTCACTGACACCTTTTTTCTAACTCAAAGTCGCTTTCAACAGCACCTCATGGTGCTCTCAGGGAAATGGGAAATGTACTGTACTTGTAAATCTCTCTTCTGGTCTTCTGACCACTCAAAGCTCTTTAGCACTTGATGTCCTCTCACTCACACACCAGAGCCACAGCTACAGGAGAAATTAAGGGTGTCTTGCCCAAGGACACATCAACTTGGACTAGTAAAATCCTCGGATCGAAGGACGATCTACCACCGAGCCACAGTTGATGACAGAGATGCAGTTGACAGCTCTTGGAAAAAGTTACGAGGTTTCCTGTCTCGGGTTGGATGATGAAGTGTGTCTTACAAGCAGGCATGACGGACACCTCGGCGGTCACAATACTCTTCACTCCCAGGTTGGACAGAGCTCCTCTCACCAGACCACAGGTGAAGGCCAGATACTGCAGAGGGACAAACAGTCATTAGTGTCATATGAGGAGTTGGGATGTGACACATCAGCAGCTAAATACAACCTGCTCGATGTGGGTACATTGATCTGTTAGAACACTGCAAATGGGACCTAAAGAAAGCACAAACTACAGCGTTGGGTATTTGCATTTCGGTCTAAGCTGCATCATGCTAAACAATGAGACAGGATTTCTAAATCCTGCAGGAACATCTCAACCCCTGGACGGAACAAAGTGAGCATGAGAGCACCTTCGGGGCCTGTTCCAAGTACTGCTTTCCAGCCGACAGTTGACTCAGTAATCGAAACTTGTTGTCCTGGAGGACATAGATGCCCTGAAACACAGTATTCAGCAGGTAAATAACACTGAAATGTATTTTCCACTGCTGAGAGGTGTATTATTTACGACTGAAAAAAAGAATAATGTGCGGCTGCCTGTTATGTGTAAGACAAACAGTCTGAAGCAGTGTCCCTACACAGAGGTCACCTGGTGGTTGGTCCGAAGGTTGTCAATCTGCTTCTTGAACACGCAGGTCCAGAAGTCTTTGCAGACAAACTTCATGATGTCCAGCTCGTCTTTGAACCGTGCTGTGTCCTTTGTGAGTCTGTAGAAAAGGAAAAGCAGATCAAATGGGTTCCAGAAGCTCGACACTATTCATACCACGTCTTCTCTTACATGAGCCCACATGGCGGAGAAATACTGTATGCAGTGTAATATCGGTCTCTAAGGAAAGAGCTGGCTACTGCAGCGTAGCTCCAGCAGAACTCAGACAGTGGGACACGGTGCAGAGAACCGGGCCACTACTTCTATTGCTGGATGAATCCACAGGTTCCTCCTGTGAGTTTATGCGACAGCAGGCTGGATTTTGAATATGTACACACACACACACACACACACACACACACACACACACACACACACACACACACACACACACACACGGTTACGAACTGTCACGCAGTGTTTACCTCTCCATCAGCCCTTGGCCCACTCTGAAGCCCATGTTCTCCAACTTGGCGATATTTCGGCCATTGTCCTGTAGAAGAACACGGAGAGAGGGAGGGACAAGCCCGCTACCGGCGTTACATGAATATGTGATGCATTGAAAACGTACAGCGCATTATGTTTGTGAATGTGTGACGAAACGGCCGACGTGGCCCGGCTGCGCTGTTGGGTAAACGCAAGCACGGGCCCGTAGGGACAGCACCGGGTTTATAAAGCATTTGGGGTGCCACCGGTCACTGAGCGGAGGAGACAGCAGCTTACCGTTTCTCCGTTTTCCGCGGACTTGTAAATGTACTGAAGGACTTCGTTATGTAAAAACTGGAAAGGAGCTTCGTCGGCCATTGTTCCTCTTCTGCACGGCCCGGTTCGGTCTATTTGCAGCTGGTTCACCGTGTCATCACACCGGGACCGGTACCACGGCACCCCGGGGACACACTCGTGAGCAGGGACTGTAAAAAGCGGTACGTCGCTTTCTGCTGCTTCCTGGTTGAGCGCCTGCAGACATAGAGTGGATTTGTTCCACACGACTACCGCCACCTGCCGGCCTGGAGGCGCAACCGCAGCACCCTAATAAACAACACGCTCTACTGAGCGCTAGTGAGAACATTGTAATAATAATCTTCATTTATTTTGTTCTGACGTTAGTCATTATAATGAAAAAAGAAGATATCAAAGACATATTAGCTTTACTCATTCTGTATTACACAGTTATGCATGTGCTTCATTACCAAGAACTCAGAGCTTGTTTTGAGACATCAACCTCCCCCATTCTGCTGCCATGTAAACCTTTGTGTAATTTGGGTTCTGAATATATGCAAAACTACGTATGTGAGTAAATGTACTTAAGGTGACTTTAACACTGCATGCCACACACGTGAACAAATATACCGCTACAGCTGCTCAAGCACCTTCCCTGGGTGAGAAAAGTGTCCCTTCTGCTAGAGCCCAATTCTTTCTTCATTCATCAATATTTAAGAATAAAAATTGTTATCAATTCCCGCAAATGTGTTTTGATACCTGACGGGGCTTTTATTTTAGTTATTGTTTAGTACATGACAGTCTTGTGATGTTTATTGTGGTATATTATTGGTGTAATGCTGCTTATGCTTCAACCGTAAAAGAAAACAGTAAACATCTTCCAAGCGATGGCACCAAAGAGGATGCTCCTGTGAAGCTCCTTTAATTTATTCAGAGCTGAGTTTTGATTGATTTGTTAGAATATTTTTTGATTATTTAACATATTATTTGTTTATACAATATGGCCTAGTTTCGTCTGTTTTTACCTGATATTAATTGATTTATCCAAATTGATAATAGTTTGTTAACAAAAATAAATATATGAGCTGAAAAGAATTTGATTTAATTCATTATGTATTAGTATTATTTTTAATTTCACAAATAATTTGGGCGATGGGTGCTCTTTTGTTTTGGTTTTAGCATCTGCCCCCTAAAGTGTCTGTGCACGTGCCTGATGCATGCCATGTTTGAGTGATCAGCTGCTTTCGGAAAAGACTGAGCTGGTTTTGGAAGTTTAGACCTTTTTTATTTAAGCATTTTGTCTTCATAAGATGCGCTTTGGAGATGGAAGGATTTAGTCCATTCATTGCATTTGTTGCCTGTGGTTGGTCTTAGGGTCAGGGTCATCATCTATCTACTACTACTGCCACTAAAGGCCTAAACTACCGTATTTTTTATAGGGCGCACTTAAAAGCCTTTCATTTTCACGCTTTTTGTGTGGTACAAGGCGCTCACGGCGTCAAGTCAAAATGTTTTAGTGTGATTTTGGTAAACTACGAAGCCGCACCGCTTGCAGCATTATGGCTGCCGTAGCCAGGAGCGTCGCAGAGTAATACATACCGTGCTTCACCATAATATTACAGTGTCAGGAGTAATGGATCGCGGATGCCTGGGCTAAGATATTGACGAGAGGGATTCGCTTTGAATGCCATAATCGGCCAACTGTTAAACTCGGACACTGAAGATGAAGATTTTGAAGGATTTGTGGACGCGGAATAAACTGTAAAAGTGAGTGTTTGTGTTGTATTTTATGTGTTATAACTGAACAATTTTGAGAGTTTTTGTAAATACGCTCATTAACGTTTGAATAATGTTGAGTTATTTGATTCTGCCTATAGTTAGGGCTGGCTCAGGTTAGCCCGGACCAGCCCTTAGTTAAGCTGCTATAGGCTTAGAATGCCGGGGGAATTCTTAGGACACACCGAGCTTCTCTCTCACGCTCTCGTTCTACCATAATTCAAGTTTTATTAATGCACATGACTAATTCAGCTTCTTTCCGGGAGTTTTTTTTGTGCTTTCTCCCCTAGAAGGTCTCCGTAGATCGTGGTTCCTTCGGGACCCTGGTCCTGACACCTGCCGTGGCCCTGCTGACGCCTGCTGCTGCCATCATCATCATCATCATCATCATCATCATCATTATTTTAGATATTAATCATATTACTGTACTCATAAACCGACATTACCCTCTCCTAAAGTCTCTGTGCTCACAGGCTTCTGTGGATGGTGGTTCTATCTGATGGTGGTTGCCCCTGCAGTGGTCCTGCTGTGCGCCTGGCTTACTACTCACTATTACTTGAATCATTTCTGTCATAGGAATTGCATGTATTATACATTGTTCATTCTGTACACATGGTATCCATTGTAGTCTGTCCATCCCAGGAGTGGGATCCCTCCTCTGACGTTCTCCCTAAGGTTTCTTCCCTTTTTTCCCTCTTGAAAGGGTTTTTTCATTTTTTGGGGAGTTTTTCCTGTGCCGATGGTGGGTTTCGGGACAGAGGATGTTGTATGTGTACAGACTGTAAAGCCCTCTGAGGCAAATTTGTAATTTGCGATTATGGGCTATACAAAATAAAATGAATTGAATTGAATTGTGAACGCATTTAATAAAGTTTGACTGACTGACTTATTATTTTTTTGCTTAATGCACTTTATAGTCCGGTGCGCTTTATATATAAAAAAATATCAAAAATAGACCATTCATTGACAGTGGGCCTTATAATCTAGTGCGCCTTATAGTGCAAAAAACATGGTACTTTATTTTGATGTATTGAACACCATATGTGATATACAAGTGAAATAAATAAGTTAAAACAGCCATTTTGGAGGCAGTTGTCTGTACTAAAAACTCTCTAATTTCCTTCTCCTTCACTTAAAAGTAAAAGTTTGCAGAGAGAATGTCCGCATATGGAGCTATCATCATTCAAAAAGGGTAAACATCTTGAAAGGTTTTTTTTTTTGGCAAACGTGAAACTTTTTTTACTTCTTCTGTGTGCCATTTTCTTTTACTCTTAACTAGTAGCACATATAATATTTTCACATCCATCCAAATATTTTTCAAATAGACCTTGTGGTTGCAGAGATAAACCTTTTGAGAAAACTCTAGAATATCACTTAGCTCTAATATGGAATTTTGTTATAAACCACCCTCCACCGTTCATGTCATAGAATATATGGTAATGTGATGCAGTTGCCTTTGAACTGTTTATATGGGTGATTGTGGGAGAGGAAAAAGATGGGTTAAGAGAATCAATTACCCCTTTTCAAATTGTGTTTGTGAAATTCAAGATTATAGATCTAAAAATAAAAATCAATAGCTAAAGCGTAGGAGAACGTTCTCTGTTCAGCCCACAGAACAGAGTGGGTGTAAGGACGTGAACCCATTTTGACACACAATCTCTAACTGACAGGAGCTACCAGTTGATTCAAATCAGACCGAAGACAAACACACACAAATGTTGCCTTCATTTATTTTTCAGAATTAAAAATCAGTGAGTACCAAAACTGCTTTCATGTATTTGTACAAAACATCTGGATGTAACAAACATCACAGAATTGTTCAACAACGCATTTTAAAAGATATATCAAAACAAAATAACTTTTGTTGTTGTTCTGTACACGTCTGCATGACAGGGGTTCCAGCTGCTGGTGTTCAGGGGTCCTCTGGACAGTATCGGGGGTAGGAGGTTAGCCACTTAACTGGACAGTCCCTGAGAACCACCAAACACAGTCACACAATCATAGTGGGCTGGCTAATTGTGCTATCACAGCTATTGTTTTCGTTTCTATCTATGGGAAGAAAATTAATGCTATGCTTCTGTGTCTTAAATGGAATTTAATTTCAACCTTATTTTCAACCTCTGCCTTTTCTTCCCTGCATCTTCCTTCCCTTCTTTGACCTTCTTAAAGGCACTACGGCGTTTCCTTAAGGTGGAAATGCTCTAGTTCCTATGCCTTACCTTGGGGGAGGAAACAGAAGTGCACCCCCTTTCTGTCCTGCAGGGCCCAAATGTCTCCTGAATAGATTTGGAATGGAGAGCATGGGTGTTGTGAGGGTGTATACCTGTGATACTTCTGCCCCTTCCTCCTCTGGTACTCGGTTTCATCCACCGTCCACACAGCTCCCTTTCCTCCCTCCACTCGCACAAAACACTTGTGCAGGCTGAGGTTGTGCCGCACTGCATTCTGGTCAGAACGGGACGTTGTAGTGTCATTAGATGGAGACTTACAGAGAATGGCTTCTAACAGGTTAAATGAAGTCGATGTGTCCCTTCAACCCTTCAGCTTCCTGTCAGGTTCCCCATGATGCTGAATTCAAGTCATGTCACAGTAACTGTAAAACCTGCTGCTGTACTTCTTATGACTTCTGAGAGCTTTGATATATGTGAGTAAGTCGGAGAAAATCAAAATTCTATTTTAGTATAGGCTTCATCAGCACTCATCACACTTTTTGTACTAGATGTCCTGTAAATATGTAACTTTCTATGTATGTAGTCAGATCCTAGCGAAAGACAATTCTTTAACCCTACAGTTCTGACTGATCCGACCAATTAACCCGAGGGACAGCCAGCATTGAACACAACCAACTCATGTTCTTTTCTGGAATGTGTGATTAGTAGCACTCGTGCCAAACCGCATATTCACATCATTCGCAATCACGTTACATCATGAAGCCGTCAGGCAGTAAAACTACTTGGTTAATTTCAGTTAAAAGATAATGGTTGTTATTAAAATGACACTGTAACAAAGTAACATAACACTTGTAAGTACTTAAAGTTCAACATGTAACAACTGAATTTGCTAACACAATTATGTCAAATTAACTAAACATTGTGTGGAAAATTCCCAATGTGAGAGAACAGTGCAGATGCATGTTAGTGTCCACAGATTTAGTAAGTGATATTTCATCATTTCATCAGGCATCAGAGCTGACGTGTAACCTGAGTAGTAATAGTAGTAGTAGAATAGTAGAGTACCTTCCAGGTAGCAGTGTTGTGTCTGAAGTAGAAGAACATGGTGGTGAACCAGTTGTAAATCTCATTCAGAGTGCGCTGCTTGTCTACAGACTCCAGGATCGACTGCAAACAGTCAGACACAGTGAGACACACGCTTGGACGAGATGTGACAAGAACTGTCCTCCGACGTAGAGATCAGCCCGCATTGCAATAGAGTAGCAGATCATCCTCATCATTAGTTCATTTCCCTAGATTAAGAATTTGATAAATGGTAATGATAAATGAACTGTACCTTGTATCTCTCTCTCTCTCTCTCTCTCTCTCTCTCTCTCTCTCTCTCTCTCTCTCTCTCTAGTCTTCTGACCTCTCTTAGCACTTTAACACTTCATGTCATCATTCACCCATTCAACCCCACTCTCCACTAAGCCTCGGTCACCCGGAGCAGGTCAGTTTGTTGCCATCCACAATTTCCCCCACTAGATAACACCACATTGTAAACACTTGACCTTCAAGATCCTTTTTAAATGTATCTGAATATATAAAGATGTTACCATGTCAAAGGTTTGCTCTCTGAAATCCCCTGTAAATGCCAAAGCACGTCGCTCATAAAGACACCAGCTTCACCAATAACAGAACATCTCATAAAAGAAACTCACCCATCTTATCAAGTATGCGTAGGTGTACGGAGGCCTGATGTTGCTGTATTTGTAACATTCAATACTAGGGACCAAATCTGTGCGACAACAATGAGGATTTGTCATTAATACAGGTGATCAAACCAATGGGATTAAGCTTCTGATATTATTCATCTGATTTTCTGATATGTTTAAATTTAAGATTGAGGTGATACATTATAATTATAATAAAAAAAATTAACATAGAATGGTGATCAGAAATACAATAGCTAAAGTTCAAAAGCTAAAAATGATGTTAAAAATTATGATTTTTACAATTACATTTTTACATTATAATAATATCATTTAAAACAGAGTTTTTTTCAGCTATAATAAGTTCTATACTGTGCTGTGTCAGATGCATTAGGACAAAGTGAAGTTGAAAGGTACATCCAAACAGACAAACTACTTCATACAACTATGTAATTCGTTATGTTAAATACTAATTACAATTCCTAGGTTCCCTCACGAATTCCACTCATCAGACTGTGACACACCAACGATCTGTTCTTGCTTTAGTGTTTAGTCATAAATATACTTTACCATAAAAACCATAAAAAGTGTGGTACCTGGGAGAATGTGTGCGGCCCCAGCAGCCATGCTGTAGCCATGCTGGGAAAACTCCTCCAGATGTTTGATGCCCCATTGTTGCACTTTGTCTCCATCCGTTACCTGAGGCTGGGGCAGGAACAGAGGAAGACTGTGCGGCCACTCAGACGCTGCCTTCAGCACAGAATGACAAAAAGTACATTCAAGAGTCTTAATAAATATTCCTAAAACTCATCAAGGTACACTAATAATTATTTGATCAGGCAAATTAAGCTAAATAAACAGTGAAAGCCAAGAGCAATTGGAACCAACATACCATATCAGTGTGTTTGTGTCCAGATAGGTGCAGATGAAGTTGCATCGCAATGAGTTTCTGTTTTTCCAGGATGAGCTGAAAGGATACAAAGTGAGGTGTGATAAGTCACGATGTAGTACAGCTGATATAGCTTACACTATGTTTTTTCACAAGCATATTCATGATGTAGTTGTAGACCTTCTAGCTTTGTTTAGTTCCCACCTGACTTTCCATGCACTGAACAATATCTTGCTGGACCTTCCACTGCGCAATGCTTTTCTCCCCATGACTGTGTTCAGAATGGAGATGCCTAGAACACAAAGTAGGCCAAGGTTAGTGGTCCACTGTTTGTGGGAAGTGCACTTGTTTGCCATGAAACCCCTTAGGATTTATCTATTAGTGTCCAGTACAGAGTCAGATCTGATGTAGTGTCCATTTGTCAGTCAGCCAGTCATCTTCTATACCGCTCATCCTTAGAGGGTCGCGGGAGGCCTGGAGTCAATTCGATCTGTCATCGGGCGAGAGACGTAAAGATCGCAGGGCTGTGCTGTCCTCCATCCATTTGTGTGTCTGCTTACCTCAACCAGAAGCTAGACACTGATGAGAGGAGCTACTATACACAGTGCCAATGTTGGGGTTAAGTGTCTTGCCCATAACCACATCGACATGGACACTAGCGGAACTGTGGATGAAACCGCTGATCCTCTGATTGAAGGAGGACCCTGCTCTCTATTGAGCCACAGTCATCAAATGGAAGTGCTAGCCTACTGTAGTTCCATTAAAACTCAAAGCGTCTCCTGACCACACGGCATCTGAAAAGTTCTTTGTTCTCGTGTCCTCAGTGAATGGTTCTGCAGGAATTCTTCACAGCAAAATTCTGTTAATTTTCTGGTGTTAGGCAAAAGTGTTGAAGTTGGAATCACACTGCAGAAGGTTGATTCAACTCTTACAGAGTCAATTGTACAAAAGAGCTGGAGTCATTATTCAGTGTCAAGATCATGTTCATTTGCGACACTTTGTAGAGTTAAATGAACTCTTTGATAGGTTTGAAATGTAACTGTACAGTGTCACACTTCTTGGTGATCGCTTTAACTCGTACGTACTGTGGCGCATGGATTGGAGAGGGTGAGCTGGGAACCACAAGGTTGGTGGTTTGAACCCTGGCTGCTACATGTCCCATATCAAAGTGTCCCTAAGCAAGACACCCAACCCCTAATTGCTCCCAGGCTAAAATGTAAAAACCATGGGTTAAAAATGGAATGTGTGTCGCTTTGGATAAACGTGTAAGCTAAATGACATGTAATGTATTTAACACTGGGCAGATTTTTTTTGACACTTATTACGAGTTAACTTGATTTAACCCTTATAAGATTGGGACAATATTAACACCAGCTCACAGAGTCAATTTAACTCTCTGAAATTTGCTGTGTACTTTGGGTAAGATGGAGCGGCATATATCCTTATAGATTTACTTCAAATAATCACATTTGTTTGAAAATAGTTACATTACATTACTGATCAACTTAGTCCTACTTTCAGAAAGTTGAAAGCAACCGTGCCCAAATATGCAGCACGTTAAGGAGGAGTGATGGCATGAATGAAGGAGCGGGTGACTTACTTTAAGAAACTAGGGAAATCTTCAGACATCACGTCACAGCCCGGCCAGCGACAGAAGCCACTCACAAACAGGGCGCTGGTCTCCTCAGGGATGCTGGCGGGACAGAAATGTCTCAGGGATATAACCTACTAGTGCTGTAACAGAAGTACCTTCAAAGTTGTTCCATACAAGTAAAGACCTATTCAAGTTTCTTGAATAGGCTAAGCCAAATGTTGAAGGTGATTGCAGTGATTGCAGAGTGAAAAAAGCTTCATGTTAACCACGTTCAGAGGTTTCACCCTCTTCAGGAAAGATCTCTAATCTTTCGTCCTTGAAAAATTACATGCAAATCAGTTGTGTGACTTTCTACATAACAATGTGTTTTTTTGAGGATTTTCAGTCAGGATTTCGAGTGGGCACAGAAACAGCACTGGTGGAAATTACAAATATTTCTCTACTTGCAATCGGACAAAGGACTTGTCTCTGTTCTTTTCTTGCCGGACCTCAGTGCTGCATTTGATACCCTTGATCATTGCATCCTGTTTCAGAGACATTGGATTGGTAGTAAAGGAGCCACACGCTGGATGATCCCAGTTTGTGTCGGTGAACCCTCCACCAATGTTGGTCACAATGTCCCACAAGGTTCCACGATTTTATTTACCATGTATATGCTTCCTTCCTTCCGATTCTATCAGAAAACATGGCATGAACTGCATTGTTATGCAGACTATACTCAATTCTATCTGTCAATTACGCCAGACGAGACCAATCAGCTTGTTAGACCTCCTCACCACATCAAAACGAGCAGAAACTTCTTGATGTTAAACTAAAAAAAGAAGTTATCTTTATAGGCCCAGAGCGGCTTCAAGGTCAGCTGTCTGGTGACATAGGTTTTCTGGATGGAATTGCTCTGGTGTCCAGCAGCACTATCAAGAATCTTGGAGTTCTCTTCGACCAGGATATGTCTTTTAAGTCGCAGATAAAGCAGACTCCAAGAACGGCCTTTTTTATCTACATTATATATTGAAAAAGAGGTTTATTTCATATTATTATCAGGCTGCTCTCTTAAGCCTCTCCAGTTGATTCAGAATGCTGCAGCGCGTGTATTAACACAAACTAAGAAAAGGGAGCATATTACTCCTGTATTAAATCTGCACTGCCTCTCTGTTAAATCAAGAATAGAATTTTAATGTACTTCTTCTCACCTACAAGGCACTTGCTGGTGAGGCACCATCTTATCCTAAGGAGCTTATAATACTATACTGCCCTACTAGGGAGCTGCACTCCATAAATGTTGGGTTAGAGTCCTAAAGTAAGTAGGACGTGAGCCAGAATCGGGAACCTTCTGTAACTCCTCAAGCTAGTAAACTGTTCACCTTGCCATTCAACAGAACTTTGACTATATATGATACAGACATATTTATTTCTTCATCACACCATATTCTCAGTCAACCCATTGATATGATTGTCTTATGATCTTTCTATCTTGTGATGCCATTGCATTATTTCTAATCTGGTGTAAATGTGAGAAAGTCACCCATCATGAAGCCTTGCCCGGATGGAGCTCTGCTTTGGGTCGTCTCTCCTCAAGGGGAGGAAGAGATGACTTTGCTTTGAAGAGGAGCCCATATGTGGGGAAGACAACTGGGGTAGACAGACAGCATCTGCCTCCTCCTTGCAAATTGAGACAGCTCCACTATTTTCTGGAGGTTCTAGGGGTAGAAAGCATCAAGGTTGGCTTTTGATCTGTTAATACATATAAGAACAATACTGCCACTGTTGATGCTGGCAGTAGTCCTGCAATCGGTATTAAGTTGTCTTATTCAGATTAGAAAAGTAATGAAGATCAACAGTGCTGGTTTGCATACCGTGTTGTTGTCTGGAAGCTGTTTGGGAAACCCGGCGCAGCACTGATGGTCTCTGCAGCTTCTGCCTTAGGCCATCCATACTGGAACTCAGGAAGGAAAAACACCAATGTCAACATGTTGATGATGTTAAAAAAAAGTAGTTAATTGTGTGAATCATGCTAGAACATGACTGTATAATTTGCAAGTTCTCCTAATTTGACAAAGTTATCATCGGTGGCTCACTTCAGCCTGATGATTTTCACTGATGGCCATGAGGAGATGCGTGTCTGTGAGATTACCTAATTAGAATTATCCACACGCCTTGGACCAGTTATGCTTGGGCAGCTCGGAAAAAAAGACCAAATAACCCATAATAAACCCAACCTCAATTAGGTACAGTTCCTAGACCATGTGACATATATTTGTATATTCCTGGTCAGCATGACATGTATAACTTAAAGGAGGATGAAACTATGTAAGTAAACCTATTACCATTCTAGAGAAAATAGAAACGGAAGAAAAAAGCTTTACGTTTCAGAGCCAATTTCACCATTAAAATCAAGAACCCGTAGAATGATATATCGTGGTAATGGTAGTGTCCATGTTTTGCCCATGTTTATTGTTTACTTGTTTAATGGTTTAATGGTTTACTTCAATACACTTTTAATTTCTATAATTGGCATACATTTCCCCAAAGTTATTAAAATAGTAATAAGACAATCAATATTGATCAGTATTCATATGACTGAACAGCTCCATGTTTCCAAGATTTATATGAGGGGATGTTGTAGTTTACTGCCATTTGTTGTCATTTAATGGTTGTATTTAAGTAAAGGTTGGCTGAAAATAAAAGGTTAGGTTTCAGCCTTAATAACGACATCTTTCCAAATCCTGCTGATCTATGTGACTTTCCTGTGATAATGTAATAATAACAATATTGGCTGCAGATATGTAAGACTAAATCTTTGTTTTGGGGCGTTTTTGGAAAAAGGCCTTGGTGAAAGATATAAAATCGTTGAGTTTGATCGCTATGGGCTTCAACGTGAAGTGCACTCAGGTGACTAAGTAAGCTCCGAATTTTTAGTTTCAGATAATGTTAGTTATCCTGGATCTTTTGATCTTCTTTTAATGTTTCTGTACAACTTACACATAACGCATACAGTGCATCCGGAAAGTATTCACAGCGCTTCACTTTTTCCACATTTTGTTATGTTACAGCCTTATTCCAAAATGGATTCAATTCATTATTTTCCTCAACATTCTACACACAACAACCCATAATGACAAAGTGAAAACTGTTTTTTGCAATCTTTTGAAAATCTGTTAAAAATAAAGAACGAAAATATAACATGTACATAAGTATTCACAGCCTTTGCCATGACACTCAAAATGGAGCTCAGGTGCATCCTGTTTCCACTGATCATCCTTGAGATGTTTCTACAACTTGATTGGAGTCCACCTGTGCTAAATTCAGTTGATTGGACATGATTGAGAAAGGCACACACCTGTCTATATAAGGTATCACAGTTGACAGTGCATATCAGAGCATAAACCAAGCCATGAAGTCCAAGGAATTATCTGTAGACTGCCGAGACAGAATTGTATCGAGGCAGAGATCTGGCGAAGGGTACAGAAAGCTTTTCTGCAGCATTGAAAGTCCCAATGAGCACAGTGGTCTCCATCATCCGAAAATGGAAGAAGTTTGGAACCACCAGGACTCTTCCTAGAGTTGGCCGCCCAGTCAGACTGAGCGATCGGGGGAGAAGGGCCTTAGTCAGGGAGGTGACCAGGAACCCGATGGTCACTCTGACAGAGCTCCAGCGTTGTTCTATGAAGAGAGGAGAACCTTCCAGAAGGACAACCATCTCTGCAGCACTCCACAAATCAGGCCTGTTTGCTAGAGTGGCCAGACGGAAGCCACTCCTCAGTAAAAAGCACATGACAGCCCACCTGGAGTTTGCAAAAAAGCACCTGAAGGACTCTCAGACCATGAGAAACAAAATTCTCTGGTCTGATGAAACAAAGATTGAACTCTTTGGAGGAAACCAGGCACTGCTCATCACCTGGCCAATACCATCCCTACAGTGAAGCATGGTGGTGGCAGCATCATGCTGTGGGGATGTTTTTCAGCGGGAGGAGGTGGGAGACTCGTCAGGATTCAGGGAAAGATGAATGCAGCAATGTACAGAGACATCCTCGATGAAAACATGCTCCAAAGCGCTCTGGACCTCAGACTGGGACGGTTCATCTTCCAACAGGACAACAACCCGAAGCACATAGCGAAGATAACAAAGGAGTGGCTTCGGGACAACTCTGTGAATGTCCTTGAGTGGCCCAGCCAGAGCCCTGACGTGAACCCGATTGAACATCTCTGGAGAGATCTGAAAATGGCTGTGCACCGACGCTCCCATCCAACCTGATGGAACTTGAGAGGTTCTGCAAAGAAGAATGGGAGAAACTGCCCAGAAATAGGTGTGTCACACTTGAGGCTGTAATTGCTGCCAAAGGTGCTTCAACAAAGTATTGAGGAAAGGCTGTGAATACTTATGTATATGTTTTCGTTGTTTATGTTTAACAGATTTGCACAAATTTGCAAAAAATAGTTTTCACTTTGTCATTATGGGTTGTTGTGTGTCGAATGTTGAGGAAAATAATGAATTGAATCCATTTTGGAATAAGGCTGTAACATAACAAAATGTGGAAAAAGTGAAGCGCTGTGGATACTTTCCGGATGCAGTGGACACCTGGGGGCATCTCCAAAATGATTAATGAAATAAAAACGCAGTAGGATGTTTTCCCTGTGCTTCTTCTTTTGGAGTGTGTCTTTTCTTGGCATTAAGTTGCAAATTTTGTAAATGAGATAAATAAATGTTGTGCATAATAATCACAAGCTGACAACACACACACACATTTTTTTGTACTGTGATTTGAAGCATAAGCAGCATTACACCAATAATATACCACCATATACCTCACCAGACTGGCAGGTAGCTCAACTTAAGACCTACCTTACGTTTAAATAATTGAAATGGTCAAACTAGTGAAGATGTCTAATTTGAAACAGTGAAACTGCCTTTAAATGCTCTGCGTGTCTGTCTCTCTGTCTGCCTGTCTGTCTGTATCGCTCTCTCTTCATTAAACAGCTGGACAAGGCGGAGCATGTCAGGGCTAAATTCTCACAAGAACTCAAATAAATGCCCCATCAGATATCAAAACACATTTGGGGCGAATTAATGACAGAGAGTACTTTTTATTCTTCGATATTGATGAATGAAGAAACAATTCGGCTCCAGCAGAAGGGGCACTTCTCTCATCCAGAGCAAAAGGGCAGGAGCTTGAGCACCACTAGGGGTCTATCTGCGCACGTGCCTGCTTTGGACCACATGGGTCCACAGATTCGGTACAGATTTATGGGCCAGTTCATTTTAAAACAATAATTAATGAAACCAAAACAGTTGTCAAAAATTGTAAAGCTGCCAACGACATGCTAAAATAAATAAAGCTTTTTATATGAATTAAGAAGAAAAACAAATTTCTCTCCAAAGCAAAGAGCTAGTGCCCTGTATTACTTGACTTCACATGAGCAACAGGTCTAAACCAATATTTTGGTACCAAAAAGAAAGAAGTTGTTGTGCAGAGTCTTGAGGTAAAAACTAAGAACTAACCAAGCAAAGTAAAGACAAGGTCATCGTTTTGTGACTCACAAGAAGATTTATGGCATCTCTGCAGTTACAGAAGTAACATTTATCTTGTTCAACCTTGTGTTGCAGATTAGAGCATTTCTTTACGAGAATCACATCCCGAAATAAAAAAAAAGAAATCTTGATAGTAGATAAACGGCAGAAATAACCTGGGCTGCATTATTAACCATTGTCAGCAGTGATGACCAACATTAAAATACTATCCTACCTTTCCTATCATTGCTTGGACACAATGAGCCAAGGAGGATATATTTAAGATCTCATTCCCTGACCAGATGATTGTTTTTGTTTTTGTTTTACTGGCGCAGGGATATCCTATATCACTGTTTTAATTCCGATATCAATCAATATCCGAGGATTGAACTTGAATTGAGTTTGAGACCCCTGCTTTATGGTCTGCATGAGACACTCAGGACTTTTAAGGAACTACAATGTAAACCCATACAGTGATAAACACTGAGAGAAACCGCTTTTGGAGTGGGTTGACGTAGATTCTGATAACTAAAACTCAGGGCAGGCTAAAAGGGAGTTCCATGAGTCAAACGAAATACTTTTAACCAGAGCCCTGTTTCACAAAACGGGTTCAACATACCCAGGGTACCTTTTAAATAAAAATGAAAAAAATAATGGCGCTGGAAACTTTTTTGGTCCACCATGTTCCTGGGACATGTGAGCCAGTGAAGGTGTAATCTAGTGTGTTAAAAATGCATTGCATCAGCAAATTAATTCACATTAATGCTCTAATATTATTGATTATTACAATTGAATTATCTCGGGGCCCATCCTCCCTTTTCTCCAGATAGATGTATGCTTCTGAGAAAGACCCTGGGTCTTTTACCTGCCTACCTTACCACATGTATCTATGTAACATCTTGTTCCATTAATTGAATTGGTTTTGAATAGTATTCATCTGTAGGGTCTCAAATATAAATATGGCCCATCTTGCAATGTCTTCCATAATTTGTTTAATTATTGGCAAATTTTGATGCCTAGATATTTGAAGGATGTGGTTTGCCATAAAAAGGTGTATTTATTTTGGATTACCTAGAATAAAAACGGTCAAATGACTGGCAGCAATGGTTGCCCAACAAAAAGCATAAAATTAAAGTAAAATATCTTAATTCAAATAAAGTGTGAAAACCATACATTTATGGAGATTTTTTTAACAGATTTTACCTGCATTATTACGATCAAACATGGCAAAACGTTTCTGCTGCACTGCTCTCTTACGGTAGAAACTTTCAAGCATTTCATTCCATTTAGTTGACACTTTTATTTTATTTATAGTCAGGACAAGTGAAAGCTGGGGATTGAGCCGCCAACAGAGGACCCTCTACTCACTACACCACGGCAGCACCTCATTACAACACCAAAGGACTTAACACGTATTAATCTTTCTT